AGTGGACATTATCGGGTCCTCTTCGTTTTTTTTTTCGCATCTAAATCCCTCACTCGCTAAATGACCTGCAAAATTTGCGTACGCATTATCCGATTTATCACCTAATTTAAGTGATATACAACATTTGATATCTTACCTTCACAGAGATATCTTGCGCAGACCTGCAGCCAAAACTAACTACGTTGATGAAAGTACGGTCGACTTTTTAGTGTCTATATATTGATAGGGTAATGCCGCATTCATCGATTCTTCCGAAGTTGTCATTCAGTGTGCTTGTTACAATGACCTAATAGAAACCAACTTTGCTACTATGCTGTGTAGACTACCACTCATCTGAGTAATCGTGGGTCGATTTCAAAAAGCCATTCTGTCGGTCCGCATAATAGCCGTTGTTCCTTCCACCTTGGAACAAATAAAGCGGTTCGTTTGCCCGACACAAGCTCAGAGTAGTTGGAGAACTAACGTTTGTTTCTTCTCTACAGAGATCCATATATGGCACTTGAGGGCCTATCTGTTTCAAGCTCGCAGTCTCCTGGGTGCAGATGACACCGGTTTGTCCGACCCATATGTGCGCTGCTCCTTCCAAGGCTTTTCCCAAAGAACCGAGACAATAATGGCCACACTTTGCCCCACGTGGGACGAGACACTAATCTTCGACAATGTGGAAATTTTGGGCGACCCACTGATTACTGCAACTTGTCCTCCCCCGGTGGTTGTGGAAATCTTCGACTGGGACCAAATGAGCTCTGACCAGTTCCTGGGGCGATGTCAAGTGAGATCTAACAAACATCCATCGAAAGCTGGACAGACAGAACACATCCGTTTAATTTTATTCTTACTAAAAAATATTTCTTCTACTTGGATGGTGGCCGCCTAACTTAACAGTGAAAATTTCCATCTGGTCGTAATAAGCTGAAGTTATAAGTTGTACGAAAAACTACATTTGGCAACATAGTTTTACCTATGAAAAGGCACCTGAAGGAAACAACTATAAGCGTTCTCTTCCGAGTGGATTATAACGAGAAAAAACTGCTCTGAGAGCGGTCATACTATTTTATCGTATGAGTAGAATGCAACTGTAAGAAACATCTGTTATACTTTGTCAGTGGTGAATTTCTAATTAAACTACTTACAAAAGAGTGAGTACACTTGTCACCTGTGAATTCTGTCACCAAGACAATCCTGTAATCGTCTTGGTGGAAAATCAAAACCTTCAAGATATTCATTAGTATTTGATTTGCACTTTGTTGAGGTTCCCGATACGGAACTTTGAGTCATGCGTAGGTCTGACGATCCCGAATATCAAATGAAGAATTGGATTCGAAAATTCACTGTACTACTTACACAAAGGTAACCAAAGTCATACGACGAACCTCAATTGTCCACGTTCGTGGAGTCACCACATGCACAGGTCTGTCACTGACTGATACAGTGCAGTGTCAAAGCTCGAACGGCAAACAGCGGCGAGCAGAGTGTTGGCTCTGTGGTGTGGGTTGTGGTAGTCTCCTCCTCGTACAGTTTCTTGATTCTGATGGGCGGTGGGATTACACGGGACTCATGAAAGAACAAGACAGGGCAGGCTTAGCAGACCGGGTACGAACACACACACACACCATGTGTCTCCTGCGAGATGTTTACTAGGTCTTCTAAGCAGGCCTGGTAGCAGGTTTCATTGAACTGAGAGTGCATTCCGCAGTAAGCAGTACAGTTCTCTGACCTTCCGTCACAACACCAGGTCGAACGTAGCTTCCAGAATGAATGTTCGCCGTTATAGTAATATCACAAGGGGGCGTTTCAGGTTCGGTGGTCATTTCAGCAACGATTCCGCGTGTCGACTCATTTGCAGACCAAAAGACTCGCTACTATGTAATTGTAACTGTTTGCGCACCTACCCAATTCAGAATGGCGCAAGAAGAGAGGTGATCAACCTTTGACTTAACAGAGACGTACGAAAAAGATCACGGAAAGTCTGGGTACTGTCGGTGCGACTTGACTTTCAGGATGAGGTCCGCTAGGTCCTCCATGTGCACGATCGGACACGCTGCATGATCTAGCTGCTAATCGACGTTAATGACGTCCTTCTTGTGAGTTTCCATCCAGCTTGCTTGAATGAGTGTCTGGAGGTGTACGCGGCTCGGAATGATTGTGGTAGGTTAGCAATAGGTCCCATTCCCACTAGCTTTTATTATTTTCTCCACAATAGGGCTTTCAGATAACGCCTCGGAATGTGGTAGGCTAGCAATAGGTCCCATTCCCACTAGCTTTTATTATTTTCTCCACAATAGGGCTTTCAGATAAATTATAACTGTGCGGTGGCGAAGCATCAGTGTTGAACACTGAGATTACGCTACTGCTGCTGTTGATGACGTGACTAATAACTTGCTAATGTTGAAAATGTTTTAAAACGTGGTTCGTGCAAATCATTCTGTCGGAAATCCCTGTAAATGCTTTCAATGTCTGCCTATGGTCAGCTGAATTAAAAGAGCACCGAATGACCCAAAAGGTTTGTGGCAAATTAGTGGACATTATCGGGTCCTCTTCGTTTTTTTTCTCGCATCTAAATCCCTCACTCGCTAAATGACCTGCAAAATTTGCGTACGCATTATCCGATTTATCACCTAATTTAAGTGATATACAACATTTGATATCTTACCTTCGCAGAGATATCTTGCGCAGACCTGCAGCCAAAACTAACTACGTTGATGAAAGTACGGTCGACTTTTTAGTGTCTATATATTGATAGGGTAATGCCGCATTCATCGATTCTTCCGAAGTTGTCATTCAGTGTGCTTGTTACAATGACCTAATAGAAACCAACTTTGCTACTATGCTGTGTAGACTACCACTCATCTGAGTAATCGTGGGTCGATTTCAAAAAGCCATTCTGTCGGTCCGCATAATAGCCGTTGTTCCTTCCACCTTGGAACAAATAAAGCGGTTCGTTTGCCCGACACAAGCTCAGAGTAGTTGGAGAACTAACGTTTGTTTCTTCTCTACAGAGATCCATATATGGCACTTGAGGGCCTATCTGTTTCAAGCTCGCAGTCTCCTGGGTGCAGATGACACCGGTTTGTCCGACCCATATGTGCGCTGCTCCTTCCAAGGCTTTTCCCAAAGAACCGAGACAATAATGGCCACACTTTGCCCCACGTGGGACGAGACACTAATCTTCGACAATGTGGAAATTTTGGGCGACCCACTGATTACTGCAACTTGTCCTCCCCCGGTGGTTGTGGAAATCTTCGACTGGGACCAAATGAGCTCTGACCAGTTCCTGGGGCGATGTCAAGTGAGATCTAACAAACATCCATCGAAAGCTGGACAGACAGAACACATCCGTTTAATTTTATTCTTACTAAAAAATATTTCTTCTACTTGGATGGTGGCCGCCTAACTTAACAGTGAAAATTTCCATCTGGTCGTAATAAGCTGAAGTTATAAGTTGTACGAAAAACTACATTTGGCAACATAGTTTTACCTATGAAAAGGCACCTGAAGGAAACAACTATAAGCGTTCTCTTCCGAGTGGATTATAACGAGAAAAAACTGCTCTGACAGCGGTCATACTATTTTATCGTATGAGTAGAATGCAACTGTAAGAAACATCTGTTATACTTCGTCAGTGGTGACGTTCTAACTAAACTACTTACAAAAGAGTGAGTACACTTGTCACCTGTGAATTCTGTCACCAAGACAATCCTGTAATCGTCTTGGTGGAAAATCAAAACCTTCAAGATATTCATTAGTATTTGATTTGCACTTTGTTGAGGTTCCCGATACGGAACTTTGAGTCATGCGTAGGTCTGACGATCCCGAATATCAAATGAAGAATTGGATTCGAAAATTCACTGTACTACTTACACAAAGGTAACCAAAGTCATACGACGAACCTCAATTGTCCACGTTCGTGGAGTCACCACATGCACAGGTCTGTCACTGACTGATACAGTGCAGTGTCAAAGCTCGAACGGCAAACAGCGGCGAGCAGAGTGTTGGCTCTGTGGTGTGGGTTGTGGTAGTCTCCTCCTCGTACAGTTTCTTGATTCTGATGGGCGGTGGGATTACACGGGACTCATGAAAGAACAAGACAGGGCAGGCTTAGCAGACCGGGTACGAACACACACACACACTACTATGCCACTGTCGGACGGGAGGACCTTTGGGATGTGACGAATGCTGGTTACAGATGAGCAAAACAAGTGCAGATCAAAAGTACATGATCGGAGTGAGCAAATGAGTGGGAGAATTATCGTGAGGTCAAGTTAGATTCAATACGTTTGTTATAATATATTAGTATTTGCATACTTGGTATATTTGGTACATTCATTATCATAGATTCATGTATGACAATTAAGTCGACTGGATGGGCAAAGAAGGCTGTCATATATTCCTAAAAAGTCAGAACACGATTCATTTCTTCTCAAGGTCCAGAAGTAGGCAGGTACAATTTACTAAGCCTCCATAATCTATGCTATTGACACAAAATGGGACCGTTTATGTGCAGGTGAAATTGCTTTGTTTCATCAAAGTGGTGGCGTCAGCGTGGTAGGCTAATGTTTCGCTATTCGTAGGTTAAACTCTCTAGCCGTTACAAGCTCATCATCCTGCACCGAAGTGATTACATGCAAACTCTACAGATGATCCTGGATGATCTAGTCCACTCCCTCAACAGTAGAATTAAAATGCACGTGACGGGTCCGAAATCCGTGAACTCAGCGTCCTCTTCCGTGCTCCTCGATCACACTTGAATAAGGATTGATACAAATTATTCGAGACCTCCAACTCAAACTAAAAAACCTGGAAGCTTTCTGAGTTGTATCGACTGAGGGGAATACATGTCTGGGAGATTCGTTTTTAAATGTTTATTATCACTTCCACACCACTGAATATATTTAAATGATTTCAAAAAGCAAGACCGCTACAAAAACCTTTTGTTCATGTTTGAAACGGAGCACACATCGAATAGTGTGTATGCTCATAGAAACAGTTTTCTGTTGTAGATCGTGCCCATGATCAAGTTGGACGCTGACGCGCCGTTTTCATGTATGCTCCAATGGCACAAGATTGAGAAAGGCACAAAAAACGGAGGGGAACTCTTGGCAGCATTTGAACTTATCCTTGTGAGTTCCCTAGTCTATTCTATGATAAATATGCAGTTTGACAAGACGTACTTTAACGGTATCTGTTCACGTGCCTTAATCTTCTGTCCGGCTGCTTTCAGCTGGATGGTAAGAGTCCACCCTTACCACCAACACGTCGCGGAACTTTGTATAACGTCCCCGAAGGAATTCGCCCAGTGCTCCAACGTACGGGGATTGAAATATTGTGCTGGGGTGTACGAAATGTGCGCAAACACCAAATGGCAAGTGTGAATTCACCTTCGGTCGAGTTCGAGATTGGCGGTCAGATGATTGAATCGTCCACTATAAAGGATGTCCGTCAGAATCCCAATTTTATCAACCCACTTCTATTTCTGGACGTTATGTTGCCTAAAGAAGAACTGTATACGCCGCCAATGAACATTTGCGTTCGTGATCACAGGGCATTTGGTTTACGTCCTCTGGTCGGGATTCACGTTTTGAAAAACTTTGCAACTTTCAAAGTACCACCTAAGTTGACAATACACGACCCGATAATGGATATCCCCGGTAAGGAATTCTCGATTTCTGGGAACCAACATTCTACTGAAAGCTTGAGTTGGGTGTTTTCTTGTTTAGGATTAATGAGAACGTTAACCGTTTCACTTGACTGGGTTACATACTTTTTGATGATGCATCGATCTACTGTCTGTGATCGCACTCACCCGTTTTCCATAAACTGTCTGACTAAGAATAAAGGCACTTTCTAGAATGCTCTAGTGTACATCTAATAGACCTAACATCTATGGTGTTCACGGTAGCGCTGTTCACTGGCGGACTGGCTTTTGGCTCAGTGAGAACCAGCATCCTTCAACACTAGAGGGTTGGAAAGTTAAGACGGTCAGAACAGCTAGAGTGGCAGAAATGCCATTGTTCAAAATGCTATTTCTGGGTTCCAATTCCTTAGGAAATTACAGACGAAGAAAAACTTGAGAGGTTTCATTAACTGGCTGACCACGTTATGAAATCGATATATATCTTTTTCAGCAAATACTGCGATTCCCCTCATTGAATCCCCCCGTCATTCCCTCCTCAGTTAAGACTATTCCCGTTGCTCTCATTGATATTTGGCTTGACAATGATGCCGTTCGAGAGCCTGTTTCCCCGGCTTTCAACAAAGGCCACTCTGGATAGCCCCCCCCCAGCAAAAGCCAGAATGCAAAAGTTTTGTCGTGCGTTATTCACCTAACCACTCGCGACATAGCAAGCTTGTTTCCAACGTAGTGGAAGGTGTCATAAGTGATCTCCAGCCATCGGAACTTTCAATGCTGCAGCAGTCCCTCAAAATAGGCCTCTCCAAAGACAACTTACTGCCCTGAAGATAGCGTTGAGGGGATAGAACAAAATAACTCTGTAGTCCACTGGGCTGCGGATACGTAAAAATAAGTCGACCAAGGGAAGAAACACAACAAAATCCAAGGGTCAGGTATTCAACACATTCATTCTATTTGTATGGGAATTTTAGTTTTTCTTTTGTGTAGGCCAACTGTTCTCAAACTTTCCAGCTCATTATCCGTCAGTACACAAACTACTGCTCTCCGCGAAGCAAACAAAGTAGGTCTTTTGACAGTCCGTCTCTCCTGAGAGTGGCCTTTCCAGAGGTGGACAGAAAATGTTTTACACCTCAGCCGCAGCCTTTAAAAATCTCTGTAGAACAGGACTCTGAATGAGACTAATGCTTGAAGATGCTAGAGTATGCAAATCAATATCTATCCTCATGCGTAAAACATCTATCTAATGGAAGTGAACACACTTACACAGCTTGCGACTAGGATTATCCCTCAGTGCGCCCACAACAAGCTGAACATATTTACGGCATGTTGCGGGTTATCCGAAGAAATGCTACGAGATTAATGAACTAACCTGCTGAATCGCCTTGTTATTAGTAAAATTTAGGGTACATCCGTACATTCGATACGTGGTGTCCCCTCCAGAAAAGATCTCCATCATTCATCAATGCCAGTTGTACAATCACCGTAAATGGTGACTTTATCGAGGGGACTACTGTGGGTTTTTTGCATTGTCGAGGTCAATAGAAAAACATCTCCACAGTTTCTTACACTTATTTAAGTACATAACCACAGTCTTGTTTGTGAACCTCTACTCAGTTACGGTGATCTGCCTACCTACCTACCGTATGGCATACTGTCTGACAGGGGTAGGTATCATCTTATAAATTTTCCAACGGCATTTTCGTGAACCTTCGATGGAATACTCACGTAGGTGTACCATGAATAAAAGTCCCATATATGGTTACTCGGTCAGCATTCTGATAGTTATGGACGCCTAATGACATGAACTATTCTGTTTAATCTAATTTTACACTTTAACTTAAGATGGGACTGTAAGTCTCATCATTTATCGTTCTATTATCTTGGCGCTGATTCAAAGGCATGTCTGCGTGGGTAAACGATGTTGGTCTAGTACTACTTCGAATAGCACGTATCTGTGTAGTTTTCTGATAAAAGCAGTGGAAGCATTTCTGTGTAGATAAGCGTGACTATTCTAACAATAACTGGGTCATCTCTGTGACTTAGGAGACGGTCGTAGTAAGCGGACCAAATCCGTTTCGGTTGTGAACTCACACCTGAGATAGCTGACCTTTGTCCACACATAACACACTACTTATAAGGTTGCTGAAAACTCTTGGATAGCCCATGACCAGTCTCACCCTTTCACTTCAGATTCAGCGGATAGGCGCAATCCCCGAGGTTCCGTCAACCTTATGTTCTGCTTGAACTTAAATCGGACGGAATTAACCAACTACTCCGATTTAAGTACTAATTTGGTTCGGACGGGAGGCTCAACTGGATCCAGCTGAACCTCTAGCTTATGATGATCTACTTCGGAAAAAGCCCATCTAAAATACCAGGCAGCCTTGTGTAGTACATGCAGTTGAAAAAGGCCAGCACAGACAAAAGATTCATCTTGATTCATTTTAGTCTCGTGAAAACCAAATTAACATGCAAAAAAGAGTATTTGTTGAATAGTTGTCTCTTCTTTGGAAGGGAACCACAATATCCAACTAGTTCTTATTTTCTTTCCAGAGCTTTGTGAACCAGCTCTACTGGAGCCACAAAATCCAGCCCCAGTAACTACTAAAGGAAAGCTAAAGAAAAAGAAGAAAGCGGTAAGTTGGTAGATTCATATTCACTTATTTCTGCCCTTCAACTGTCATTTGGATTCACCGTTTTATTTGGATTCACCGTTTTTGGAAACCAGGCGCACTTTTGACGCTGAATTGCGTCTTTGAGGAAAAACTCTAGAAATCTAGTTAAGGAAAATAAAATTACCCGTCCTTCTGGAGCGAAATCAGAGTTCATTGCACACTTTTTACATTAGAATGATTGAGCATTGCCACTCGAATCGACCGCAGTTTTGTTCCACTAGGTTGCAATGTACGTCACCTGAACCAAACTTAGCAGCATACTGGCTGATTAGACTTTTGAAACTGTTATGTTCAGTGCGCGAAATATGCAAACGAGAAAGCCGGGTACGCGGTACAGACGATGAGCCAACCGTTGCATGCGTGCTCGTCTAGGTTGGGAAGAATGACACTAGTTGTTCGGTGAAGATAACGGGCGTGAACAAACATACAGGAAAACCGCAATGCAGCCGAAAATACCTTCAAAACTTCCACTTCCTCAGAAGAAGAAATTTTGTTAAAAAAAAACTCGTAATGACGTAGGCTGTCTTTTCGAAAGGTAAAGGGCTTACAAAGACCGATCTCAGGACATTAGCAGACCTGTAAAAATGAAGTTTACATTACTAGTGGTAATATTAACGACAGTATGACAAAATACATATTTTAGAAATGATGAAAAAGCTACCAGTGAATCCAAACAAAGCTAAAGTAGCCGTACAGTGCATTAGGGGGTTTTGAGTATGACGGACCTTACCCTTAATATGTCAGGAATGTGAGTCTAGTTGAGAACATCAGACGGTTATTCTTCTACACCGTACGGTCACACAATTTAAACGCACACAATTTAAACCTGTTTCGCACATTTCGAATAGAGTGTGAATGCGGTCCTTCAGTTACTTTAGACTAAATAATGATGTCATCTTTCAAATCGCTTTGTATGTTTCCATGTTTAGTCCAGTCGCATAGGACCACCATCCGACGCAAGCTCAGGTGGCTACGAAGCATCGAGAAAATCGATGAAGTGGAAATTCACTGGGTTCAAGAAGACAAAACCAAGCGCTCTTAAGGTTTGTCCAATCCAATTGATTACTCCATACCCAAATTGAATGGTTCTGAAATAATTACAGTATGGTAAACAAAATGTAACAATAATAACATTAATAATAATAATAATAATGAAATAATACTGTTACTAATAATAATGTCTATTTTATACAAAATGATAAATACTAAATGCTAAAACAGGTGGCCGACTCCGTTCTATTCAACTTTAGCTGTCCTTCTGATGAAGGAATGCAAATATTCCACCGACGGACGGGAGGTATACGTTTCGAAGCCAGTTCTCTTCAGAACTAGGTGAAAATATTCCGGGATAAAAATATATCGGACGATATATCTCAGGTTTTGAGAAGGACTGCTAGAACCGAAACCAATACAACGTTCTCATAAAAAATGTCGGATGTCACTTCATGAACTACAGAGGGGTGGGCAAAACATTTGTTGGACACCCGATCAGTTGGAAAACGCTTGGAACTGACCGAGAAAAGTCGGAGAAACACCATAGATTTACTAGCTCGACATCTTTCGCGGGGATGGGGGAAGGAAGGGTAGAAAAAAGATTGACGAAAGATTACTTTTTATTTGCAGCTGGATATGCAACAAGTAGACGATGATATCGATTGGTGGTCCAAGTTCTACGCATCATTGGGTCAGTGGGACAAGTGTCTGAAGTACAAAGAAATGGAATATGATACACTCGTGGTAAGTGACCTCGTGAGCATTGTCCGGTCAGCAATGTTGTGTCTATATTTATCTTTCCTGACCAGTGGGCTCTTTTGTTTGTTGAAAATAGACCTTATCAAGAGTAGAGTCAGTGTTAAACGAAATGCCCCCTCGGTTGAGCTACCGGTCAGCGACGTTAACTCAGTTTGCCAGTATCTAGTATCTTGCTTACAACCGACATTCAAACTACCGAAACCGGTTGCTTGACTCACCTTCGTCTTCCCAGTTATTTTCCTTTTCGTTTTCAAGATGGGATCTGCGCTTGAGCCCATCTTTCATAACCCGTTATTCACCTGTTCCCATTTGATTTATTCGCACTCGGCTTGCAGTTTTTTTAAAATGCATCTGTTATCTTTGTGGCTCTCCCAATAGCACTCACTCGTCCAAACACTGTTCGCTCCTGTATTTGAACTGTGAACACATTCCGCTGTTCACTGCAAAACTCTGCATTATTGCTTAATTCAGCAATCATAATCCCAAATAAACTGCTTTTTCAGCCGCCTTGGTTCAAGTTGCCATCAAGGCGCGTACCACTTCTCCATAGCTTATTGCCTGTCCGTGCTTTCTTCCAAAATTTCCCAATCACTTCTCAAACCGGCGAGGCAACACCCGACAAACCCATGACCTCTTCCTTTCCAGGGACCGCGCTCCCAATGCTGTGACTTTTTCGTCTGCCCCTGTTGTCCCCAGACCACATTCTGGTTGCGTTTTCTCGTCCTACTATATCTACACAATAGCACTGGAAACTAGTTAAAATTCCTTCCATTCTCCTGTGGGAGTCCGGCTCATCCTCGAAAACTGTCGTGCAAATTTCGTCTGTACCTGAAATCTTCGCCGGAGAAAAGGTTTTCGCTTGATTTCCAGAACAAAATGCCTGTCAGTGCATGTATCATATGCCTGTTTCACCGAATGGGCGAGATTGGTTAAACGGAGTTAACACTATTCGATACGCGAAAGTCTCTGTTTTACTGTATGCTGAGCATCTTTTCAATCAGTTTTCGCCCAAGATTGGTCATGCAGACTGCAAACTTCTTGTGCAATCGGAAAAGTTGTGTGCTCGGGAGTGTTTTAACACCCCGTTTTCCCCCATCTGCATGTTCATTTACAACGAAGACCTATTTTTTGGTTTCATCCACATGCTTGCTATCGATACTGCTGTCCATTACATCCCATCCCTTCCGGTGTTCTGCCTTTCTTCGGAGTCCATTCGAATGCTTAAAAATGATCAGTACTCTGAACGCTGATCTCACGAAAAATTCGCGATCGATGTGCTGCAAACGCTGCGGCATTCAGTCCACATGCTTCTATAGTTTCTACACACTTTGCCGCTCTTTCCCGGTCCTCCTAGTTTGTATCGGCCCAGCCTGTATTCCCTGCTCTTCCTAATTCACTTGCTAGGTTNGTTCGATATTTTCCGTCATTCCTAACCGTTCTACTCATGTTAAACCGATTGTGCAACTGGGCCTAAAGTGTGGGGCTTCTTTGGTTGCCTTCTTACTTTCTATTAGCCCTAACCTTAGTTAACCCTGAAACAATTTGCTGCTCCTAACTATCTCTCAGTTGTGGATCACATCTAGAGGAAAAATCATTCACCCGAATGTAACGCAATCTCTTACCGCCAATTTCCAAATTCTTCCCGTCGCCGAGATGTAGCACCCGCTTGGTTAGTTGTTTTTTATGGAAAATTTTCCCCGAAATCGCGTCACTTGTGTCCTGAACCGGTACGCANAACCGGCACGCATTTGCAAAAAGCAATTAATTGAATTAACGTAAATAACTAAAATTAAATAAATGAATAATAATATTAAATAAATAAAATGAACAAAATAAATAAATAAATAAATTAGATAATATCAATTAAATAATTAATTGACGAGCCGATAAAAATCACATTTAGTTAAGCTTTAACCAATCAAAATTGCGTGCCTGCACAGCATTATGGCTACTTGCTCGCTGTTGGGACGGGACCATCAGAATCAGTTTAACTTGTCACGTGACCAGATTTACATCTTTTGCATTTCACCGGGAGGTATCAACTGCCCGAACATTGCCTTTCGTGAGTAGCCTACAGTATACACAAAACTCAACGATATCCCTCATCACTCACAGTAGGAAACATGAGGCTAGTTCATTCCGTCATTCGAACTGATGGGCAAGCGTAACTGATTAATCCGGCGGTCGACTGATGATCATGGTTTGCTTACTGGACCATAACGGCATCCTGAGAGAATAAAATTTTATACCACAGGGCAGCCTTTATGACAAAAAGCCTTTCCATTTGAAACGAACAGGTACCAGATAATAATCCAACCTTGTCATGCAATGCTGAAACAATCCGTTAAACTCCTCGATTGAGACTGAGAATGAACCTTGAGTTGAGCGTCCAACCTAATGACAATTTGGTGGATAGCTGCAAGCGAAACAGCACTGGCTGGCTGTGATAGTGGAATTCCGGTATCCCTTACTGGATCTCACAACTGGGCCCTTGACAAACACGGGTGGTTACCGAAGCCATGAAAGGCTGCTTAATACACAAACCAGTTACATTTAGAGCAATCTTGGAGAGGTGAGTACTCATTGGTCAAATCCGTCCTGACTCGTATGCAATGTGAGAGCGTGTTTACTGGTCAGATCAGTCTACTCAGTCTCATCCCTAAATACCCTCCATAGATGTACGAATATATTTTCGTCGCGGACGCTAAATCTAAAAAGTATGGTAAGGTTCAGAGATGTTTGCTCATCGTGGTTCTCATAAGATTTCAATCACGACAAGTTTAGTCAGTAAGAATTTACTCACTCCGTAGGTATGTTTGTTTTTGAGGGGACAGCTGTACATCCTCATTTAGGTCGAAATCAGATTATTCGGCATCAAAAGAGTTGAGACCCTCCGGAGTTTCGCAAGATGCGGATGGCTGACGGTTCTCAGTATGAATAAAACAGCTGTACAGTGCTTCTTGGCTTTTCAGCATAGACTGGCTTCACTTAGAGGACGAAATTGATATTAAAACTTCCAGATTTCCTTACACTACCAACATACAGCTGATGGGCGAAGCGTCGATTTTTACTCACACAAAGATGACCTCATGTGACCCTGTTAAGTGGTATGTACAAGTCACCCGGGTCCCTATTTCCTTAACTCATCTCATGCCANGGAATCTTTATCTTTGTCATGACTACTTTTTACTTCAAACTTCCGCTTTCTTCAGGTGTACAATAGGGCATTGGAAGAAGTCAAGCAGTACGAGGGCTTCAGTGACTTTTGCAACACATTCACGCTGACGAAAGGAAAAAATGTTGAGGAAGATGAAGACAATTTTGCCGGTGAATTCAAGGGAACATTCCGTATCTACCCTTTACCAGAAGATCCCAATGAACCATTGCCTCTTCGTTATTTCGAAAAGCTGGCAGTTTCACCTGAGGTTGAGGAGTGTGTGGTTCGAATTTATATAATCAGAGCCATCGAGATTCAACCATCTGACGCTTCCGGTTTGGTGAGTATCTGTGGATTGTGATATGTGTCAATAAGTTTCCGTCACTCAGTGTGGTCCTCATTAGTCGTGCACACCATAAGAACTAGTATATAGCCGAATCTGATGATATGTTGCTGCTTGACAGATAGCGGTAGGGAAATTATGAGGGCATCTTTTCTTGTAAATGGATGTATATCCGTAATTTTTAAACAGATGGAGGTCACAGGAACTCAAACCTCGTTCGCCCGGGAAATTTGATATGGCTTTGTGAATCTTAACTCCTGGCTATGGGCAGATGAAATCAACCATACTGTTGGTTAGTGAAACGGGTCAAATGCTGGTATTGGTATCAGGTGAGGTTAAGCGCCCTTGATTAGCACTTTTCAATGAGTCAAGAGGCATTTCGCGGGTTTAGAAAAAGTGTTGCGTTTGGGTCAATTACTGGGTAGGGAACAACGTTAGGAGCAGAGTTTCGTGGCTGAACGTTTCTATCGCTTTGAGTGAGACAGTCCCTTCTGGGGATGAGAAGTCGAGGCTTAGGTCAATTAGTCGAACTATTGGTTGGTGTTTACACGATGGGTGTGTACTGACCGTCTTTTTTTAGTGATACAGGAGGGTTGTTTTCGTCCGAGCTTCACAGTACCCTTGATGAGACCCTTTGGGTTAGATGAATTTGGTAGAATAAAACATTAGAGCCTGAAATGCAACGGCTGGATTCTTTTATAGTTTCCAATACCGCAAGAGATTTTAAGGTCAAAAGGTTGTGCATCATTTGTGCTCTGCAGTACGTACTGTTACTCGTATGAGAATGTCCACTATGCGGATGACGTTGCGATCCCCAAGGCAAATTCCACATAAGTAGGCAGTTTGATTACCCTGAGTAATAGGGTCGTTGGGAAGTACCGGATGTCTGCTTGTGGTGTTGTCAGTTTTGAAAACTGGATGATAAATTCTGAAACAGCCATAGTTTGTGCGCGGTAGGACGCCTGAACGGGTGGTAAGATCACTCCGTTCCCTGAGTTTCCCCTTACCAGCAAGTGTCCGAGTGTCTTCACAATGGAAGATACTAGCTAGTTGCTCAAAATATTCACCATATCATTAGGCGTAGTCGCCTTAGAAATTTCGTAAGAACGTTTCATGTTATCTGGGCTTGCCGGGGAGTTTTCAGCTGTTTGTTTGATGTTCAAAAAATGAAGTGAAAATTAACCACCATATCATTAAGCGTAGTAGCCTTAGAAATTTCGTAAGAACGTTTCGTGTTATCTGGGCTTGCCGGGGAGTTTTCGGCTGTTCGCTTGATGTTCAAAAAATGAAGTGAAAATTAATCCGAATATTGCACAGATTCAATAAACCATAAACGAGAGGCTCAGCTGGGTTCCACGTGAGTGCCCTATCAAAAACAAAATAGCATGTAGATGAATGTATGAGCCTTAACCCGATTATGGCACATAATAGACCGGTGTACGATGAAACCCGATTCTTGACCCTAACATGAATTCGCGGAGATCTGAGAGAGCCCTCTGCACTCCCATTTTTACAGGGAAAGTATACACCCTCACAAAGAGAACTACGGAAATGCAACAGGTTACTTGGTAGTTTTGTTTGCAAGATCTCACAAGTAGCACCACTATAAAACTACGAAATATATTGTGTATGTGGGAGCTGATTCATTATCTGTTTCTTTAAGCAACCGATAACAGTTATTTGCTACCCATGTTGCCACTAGTTGTTCCCATTGTGCACACTCTATTCATTTGGGCGTACAGGATCTGTTTGAATTTGGGGTCAACTATTCACAACCATAGTTTGGTTCCCGATAGTTATCCCACGTTTATTTGCCACTAGACGAATCGCAACTTGAAAAATTCGCAACGTACTGCTTGATTCTACGTTCATATGAATGCACACTCACCGTAAGGAGGGACTTGATGAAGTCCCTCCTATTTGATTCACTATTGAAATTCCCTAGCGCAGCTTGCAGTTCCATCGAGTTTCCTTTGCAACAACAACCAGCAAATGCTTCTTGGTTTTTAGGTTTACATTTTATAGAAAGGCTGCAGGCAGCTCAGTCCTTGTTTTCGTTCTGCTTGGGGCTTATCAGATAGACCCTGAAAGCTCTGAAGTCAGCACACAAACCGAACTAAAATGAGAAACCAGAGGGGGAATCAAGTGGGTAGTTCCGCCGTGGAAAGTTGACGGGGTTCGTGCACCCCATATTGTGTTGAAGAGTATCAATGATGTACCAAGTACGAGGCAATTCATCAAGCCTCCAGTTACGGTATTTCTGAGCTCAAAAGTCTACTTGCCACCAATCTGACTTTGAAGTTATGGATTAATTTTGTTCAATCTTTATATAAAGCTACTACAATCTTACCATACCTTACGGCTTGCCATAGTACGTCTATAATAGTTCACTAAACTGGTGGTTTCCTGATAATCCAATTGACAAAAAAAGTTACAAATGTTCCCTTCTAAAGGAGTTACCCATAGGTTTGTTAGTCCATGAAGTATCGCTGAAACGAGCTTCCACGATCCTGACTTCCTCTAACTGGTTCATCATTACTGTTTTCAGCTGGCAACACTGAGTTCAGATTTGTTTGATAATTTTGACAGTTTACAGGACGCATTCAAACAGGAAACCTCGTCGACTGTCACTACAATGTGCAACTGTCATACGTTGTCTTAAATTTCGTGTGTGTCTAACACTTTTTCGTAACTCAGTCCATCACAGATACTTCGCTGATGGTGTAACGGGGATATCACGTCCAAGGTATCCCAGCTGATCTGTTTGATAGCCAACCCGGTCATGACAAACATCTGACCAGCGTTCAGGACAACCGAATTACGGAACAAGGCTCTAGTATCCACTAGGCGCCTTTTGTTTTCCTCAAACAAAAAGAGAATGGAAACACGGTTCGAAACTTTCGACAAAATTTCTGACACACTACTACTTTGACCATTCCCAGGGGACTTCAATTTGTTCTTGTGACAACACGGAAGGGAATAACTTGAATAGCTTGAATGATAGTTCACTTACATGCTAGTTTTTACACCACCTTCTGATGGTATCTGATGCAATTTTTCGCTTCGACCAGTGTGGACTTTCGAAATACTCAACCAGCTGGACACTCCAGCCGAGATATATAAAATGCACACTTACATAATTCTCATTTGAACAATCGTCCTCCCTATCATGGCACAATCTTTCCGGTGAGTGCAGAACAAAGGGGAGAAAAATTGGTGCCGTAGCACGGATAGCCTGAGTACTGGTCATCCAACTTTGTCTAGTGCAATGCAATAGAGCAGTTTTTTGTGCTTTTACCAGTCCTGAAGTAAAACCGTCTTGTGAGCGAGGTGTATACCCAGGAAAGTCATAATTTTCAAGCTCCATCAAATGCTGAGTTATCCAGCGTTGCTTCTTCTCACTTCCTAGTTTTAGTTCTTTTAGTCCATACTAGAAACGGGAAATTAGAGGCTTTCTTGACGGACCATCTAACAAATCAAATTAGGCCAGACAAGAGGAAACAAATGGTGTCTGGGGGGCTATTGCGATAGCAACGTTAGAGATATTGATAGCATTTCATACGATTACCAGTCGGTTGAATCTGGATTCATTCTGTCGTTTTCGGTTTTCTCGACGTGAATTACAACAGGAAAGATTGTGCGGCGTCTAGATATTCTCTTCGAAGTTGGTTTTTTCCTTGCTGAGGTTCATCGGTCGAACGGTATCGTACTATGGGTGGTTTCCTGCTCATTCACCCCATCGCTGTTCAGGTTACTCACGCACATGTATTAAATTATGACCATTCAAGAAGATATATTTTGTAATCCAGCAAGTTAGGCCAAAAATGGTAGCTGAGCTTCTTAAGGGGGGAATGACTGAACTTTATTGAGGAATCTCCCGAAATTAGCATGGGTCGCGCAGCGTGCGGGTGAGTTGTTTAATGAGGATTTTTCGCCTGTTGGTTTGTAGGCTTACAGAGGTGATGTCTTTTGGCTTGTTGGGTGGGCTCTACCTAGCCTTGTTGTGTAAGGTTTGAACAACAATTTGGAATATTTGCCTGTAAAATATCTTTTACTTTGTTTAGCACAAGTTTTGAAATCAATTGGAGAACTTATTACTACAAAATAGTCAGGTAATTGCTCCGCATGGACGATCTGTCAGATATCAAGCAGTTTTTATATGCGATATTTATAAAGTTGGGCATGATGATACTAAATTTCTTTTCCAGGAGTGACCGGTTTTGTTCAGCTGATGTTTGGTACCTCAGGCGGGCTGACATTCACCTTACCATCCCAGGTTTCGTGGCCAAAGCAACAATCCATCACTTTACCCTGAAGTCACAGTCCCTTTGTTTGTTGCACTTGAATTCAACATCTGTTGTCTACTAAAGAGCACTCATGACATTTCGCTTCTTTTTTCGTCTTGTAGGCGGATCCGTATGTGGAAATCAAGCTGGGTGAAAAGAAAATGAACTCAAAGGACAAATACGTCCCCAACACGCTGAATCCAGAATTTGGCTGGTAGGCTGACAGTTTATCGGGGATTTCTCTACCTTATGAATAGTGTTTCGTTGTTCAGTCGCGGGCTCTTCAAACTGACAAACGTGGCATGATTGTACCTAGATTGCATCTTTTGAATCAGTTACTTGAAATAATCTCCTCCAGGAAGGGCGCTGCATGGTGGGGGTCCTCGATTCTTGGGCTACTATATTTGTAGAGAAGTATACCATGATGTCTTCTACATTTCATGAACTCATTTCTTGAACCTATCTTTGATCTTCCAACAAAATAATTGCATCTTAACCGATACTTTAAAACCTTTAGTGCTATTGGGTCTCGTTCGTATAACCTGCCTAGATCTTTAAAACTTCTCGAGTGAACTGGTAGGGTAACTTCAAGTTTGAGCTATTGCACCTACTTATTTTACCAAGTAGTTTAGTGGTGTTTGGAAAGCTCAACAATAGAACTGAATTTACAGTACGACTGACTATGTAGAGGAGTTGAGTAGTTATTTTGAAACATCACTGGCGCTCCAGCTTTGCGCTACAATCGATCGAAACACTACCAATCAGCTGCTCGAACCTGCGCATTGGATAAATATCCCTATCAATCTAAAACAGTCGACATTTCATCCTATTCCTCCTTTTTCAGTCTGTTTCAGATGAAGTGCTTACTACCAGTTGAAAAAGACCTACTCATTCAGATCAAGGATTATGATCTTTTTGGCACGGATGACATAATCGGGGAAACGTATATCGATCTGGAAAATCGGCGCCTATCCAAGTACAGAGCCACATGTGGATTGCCACAAACCTATTGCACATCAGGACCTACTCAGTGGCGTGATTCACAGACTCCAACAGCTATATTGGCAAACTTTTGTGATCACCACTGTCTCCCACCGCCGCAGTACGAAGAGCCGAGTGAGGCGACGCCCAGCTTAAGGTGTCGCGTTGGTCAGAAAAATTTCATGCTTGAGCACTTTGAGCGTGGAACACAGAGCAACCCACACTTAGGTGAACCGAAAGAGAGGCTGGCACTACACATTCTGAATCACCTACCACTAGTCAAAGAGCACGTTGAAACACGTTTACTGTATAGTCCACTGCAGCCCAATATTGAGCAGGTAAGATACTACATTACACCAATCTCGACGCGTGGTTGACTGTGAATAGGGCATGATGCCAGTGCAGTTGTTCCTCTGGTCTGCCTTTATCATGAAGCGAGACGGCATCACCTGAGGGTAGAGATTTTCCGACTACAGGCACGATGAACAATAGTCACACGGTTTTGACTGAACTAAAGGGTATTATAAGGCCCCACTTTGTAAGGTATATATATATGTAAGCATGGAAATTGGAGTCGAAGAATTTAAGACAAATATCAAGGCTTGTAGGGTTTTACAAAATTCCCCGTGGTCCAAGATCCAGTGACTGAAGCTCACTCTTTTGGTTAGAACCAAAGTAAAGAATAGATGACCCGGTTCTCGCATCATTCATAGAGGGACCAATCATGGAGACGGTGCAGCAAAGCGTCTATGGTCTATTAACGGTCTGTGTGTATAGACTGTTTTGTGGAACCTTTCTTAAGCTGACCTCACTGCAACTACACGGAAATACGGGATTTGTGAAAAGTAGTTATTTTAGTGGTGTTTCCTCCGTTATCCAGAAAACTTTGCTGTATAAATACTGAAGAAACATTCCGTTGATATGAACTTTGATGTTTCCAGGGTAAACTCCAAATGTGGGTCGATTTGTTCCCGGTGAATTTGGGGGAGCCTGGACCGGCTGTGGACGTGTCACCTCGACGACCGAATGAGTATGAGCTAAGAGTTATTGTCTGGAATACGGAGGAAGTGATTTTGCAAGAAACTTCAGTAACCGGTGAGAAGATGTCCGACATTTACGTCAAAGTAAGTGGGCTTCGGGCTGAAATCGGTAGATTTCGCTGGAAAGCTCGTTTTTTCGGTTTCCAGCCTCGGAGTACCTTCTAATACGACCAAGTGTTTCAGCTGATGCATGCTGTAAGGCCTCCGCGAATCCATCTGAATCACTATCAAAGTGATCCCTCACATCAAACTAACTTATTAGTTGTTGATCAGGTGGCTATTGATCTGTTCGCCGAGCTTGACAATTGGCTTGCAAACGTTTCGTCACCATACGAGGAGACATCATCAACTGCACACTGATGATGTCTCTTCGTATGATGACGAAACGTTTGCAAGCCAATCGCCGAGCTCGGTGAACAGATCAACAGCCACCTGATCAGCAACCAATAAACTCACCCGAGCTACCAATATTCCAACACATTACCAAACTAAATTATTGATTTATACAGCGATCATCTTGACAGACATCTACACAAGACAACTATTCGTCTAAGACAGGACCTCCGATCTTCGCAGGGTAGACTATTATTGCTATGTGACCAGTGCAGTTGGTTTTCCTTTGGTATTCTTTAGGGACATTGGAACCTACTGAGAATCATGTAAACCTAAACCTAAAGTAAGCATTCAGATTACTTACGAAGCCCGTGCAGCCTTTTGTGAGTGTGCTCGTAATAAGCGACCCCGAGCAACAACCATCGACTCGTTGTATCCCTACCCTCGGATGACCTTTGACGCAGGTTGACTACTGAGAGATAAATAAGACTGTGAACCACGGAATGGGAGTGCTGAATATCTGGAATATCCACTCAAGACAAAATAGTAAATTGCATATCCACCCTCATAAAAGCCTTCAAAAACGGTTCGGAATCTCACTAACTCTGTGTGGACAGCCTGTGATGCGGCTCATACTTGTCCCCCCCCCCCCTACAGGAGGAGAGACATCCCTATTATTGATACATTCTGGATGGTTTCACGAAGAGATCATAGCGTATTTTAAAACACGAGTAAAGATTACTCAATGCNCCCCCATACAGGAGGAGAGACATCCCTATTATTGATACATTCTGGATGGTTTCACGAAGAGATCATAGCGTATTTTAAAACACGAGTAAAGATTATTCAATGCAGTTGGCTGATCAGACCAGACTCGTCTCCAGTTACGGGGTTGTTTGTCTAAAGTTCAACCTGTTTTACGATGAACAGTCTGTCTGTTGCTACACGACATGTATACCATCAACTTTTGCAAGAGTCTATTTATGCGAATCTAGTGAGTCATCGTACTGAGCTAATGGGACTCCGGGTTAATTGAGTGAATTTGCGGAGTGCACCCAGGTTAATGAAAGCTTGCATCACCTAGAATCTCGGAACTACGAAGCAAATCAATAAACATTGAGGAATATTTGGTTCATAAATCAGTAAGTTGAAGTGACTTCCCGTTATCTCATAGGAATTCTGGCTCTTTAGGTGCAGCCGTGTGTCATCTGAATGTATCGATTGCTCACTGAGTGTTTGTTCTTTGAAAAAAAAACTCAAGATTCTACATTACTGATACGAAGTTTGTCAACGGCAGACTCAAGTAAATCTCAGTAGAATCTTTCTTCCGCTATATTCCTCAAGTATGGTTTTCAGCGACTTAGCCAACCTGATGGGCTTCCGAAAGGATGAACCTTATCGTGGACTGTGCTGACGTCCTCGTTGGATCTTTTCCAGATAAGCACCGCCAACAAATTAATCCCCGCCACACAAAAAAATATTTAAAAAAAGAGGATATGAAACTTGTAGTTTTGGTTTTTACTGAAGAGTGTGAAATTGGGACGTGTCATTAATAACTTGCATCAGAATGTTCGTTTTTCGGTACCTTTGCCTCCAAACGAACTCACACAAGTAGCTGTCCACTAAAGATCGCTGGGTGCCGCATTGGCTTTTATTCTGCACCTTGTAGACGTGCCAAAGAGATTCGATGGTTTGTGTGTGAGCTCCAGTCTTTGGATCCACAAAGTTCTCGGTATGATTAACCGTTTCAGGAGTATAATTCATGTCAATCCTTGGTATGATGCTCACATATCGGAGATGATGATTGATCAGGAAGCGATGCAGCAATAAATGAATGAAACTAGTCCTAAACTCCATCCCAGACCGCTTCAGCCAAGTTCCTTTTCGAAGACCGATTTCTTGCCTATACTGTCGGGGCTTTACACCTCCACCTGTCAGAAACAGTTGAAAGTGTCATTTGGTTGCCATTGTTGCATAAACGTTGCTGATGGATCACTCAATGGCTTTGAAAAAAACGTATTACTGTCTCCTTGTCATGAACGAGAGTTGAAAGCGTCAGAAAGTTCATTTGCATAAAATGAATCTAGATGCGAATAAGGAATTGTTTTCACTAAAAATAGATCAAGATTGTGTGCGTATATTAAATTGGAGCTGGAAAAAGGGGGCGGGGCTTAACTTTTCGCACATGCACTTCTTGCATTAGTGGCAGAGCTTATCTGAAAAACGAACCAAATAGGTAGTGTCGTGTCAAGAAAGCGTACTTTGACACATTGAATGTTGTTCCTTTGTAAAGCATCATCAGTTGGTTGAACCAAGATACATTCGACTATTTTGTAGGCACCAACCCAGTTTGCGAACAAATCTTGACCCGTAAGTAGGAAGGGGGGTTGAGGGAAATTTGGGGATTAGGCCTAACTGACGAGCCCTAAAAAGGATAAAACCGGTAGTTGACTGCGTAGGAGATTTCGTCGACCGAAGTGTCATATCAAGATGATTTGGGCCCACTTGGGGTAACCGGTAAGACAATTTTATAACAATTTTATAATTTCCCCTCGTTCATTTTTATTGTGGTCTTAATCTAGCGAAGAAGCTGCTGTTCCGAAGTACTGAACCGAATAATTATTGTTGATTAGCCTGATATGGTGTGGAGAGGTAAAATAGAGCGGCTGTCTCTGCGAGAATGAGTGGTCTTCCATAAATAGGTAGGAGGCAGTCAGCCTTATTTCGTTGTACGTCCCGAGTGATTTGGACTTATCAGCTGACCTCGGCGGTTCTTTCTTAACAGATCCCACGATTAATCAAAACACCACGTAGTCAATTGCATGCATGTAACAAGACTTGAAGTGTTTTCCACCTTTTGAAACACAGTCTGGACGCCGGTTGACTGCTTGCTGATAAGGATGCCTCGAACTCCACTTTTGCATCCCCTTACAGAGATCGATCAAACTAAGAACAGAAGCGTTGCTGCTCAGATCTAGTGGAGTTCCTAAGGGAAAGGTTGTGTGGGCGGACTGGTCGCTTTTCAACTGAAAGCATTGCAAATCAGCCTCGACGTGCATAAAGCCCCATCTTAATTTAATTCCCATGTGCGCAACTCATGACGGAATCTGTTGGATCAAACTCGCATTGGTATGACGCATCCAGGAGTGCAACATAACGGTTCCTTGTGCAGTTCATGGCTTGAATTCGGGAGACCCTTTAGGTTAACGTATAATTTTTTACTGAAACCATTGGCTACAACCTAAATATAGCAGACATTGCTAAATGGCATCTACAATTCAGACACCAGAGTTGGCAAATTAAACGACATAAGGAGCTTAAGCTTCCATCTGTGAAGCGCTGATTGTTTACCCCATTACTACTGATGATCGAAATTCTTGGAACACACAGGCATTGGGGACCCGGTTCCAGTTAATAGGCACAATAATCAACAATTCGAATATTCTAGTTACCTGAACGACCCTTCAACTTTTTAGGGATGGCTGGCCGGAGTAGATGAGCGTCAAATGACCGACGTCCACTATCGATCGCTAGATGGAGAGGGGAACTTCAACTGGCGATTCGTCTTCCCCTTCTTCTACCTCCCTGCGGAGAATACAGTAGTGATAAAACGAAAAGAGCATTTTTGGTCGTTGGACACAACTGAGCGACGTGTTCGGCCGAGTCTAATCATGCAGGTTTGGGATAATGACCTGTTCTCAGCCGACGATTTCCTTGGGACTCTCGAATTGAATTTGGCGAATATGCCAGCACCGGCTAAGTCCGCGAGGAAGTGTTCGTTGAACATGCTTCAAACAGTCAACAGAGATGTCAAGACAATGAATCTGTTCGATTGTCGTAGAGCAAAAGGTTATTGGCCGTTCATGAACGACGAATCTGGTGAACAGCAGATAACCGTAAGTTGGTCATATGTTAGTTAAGATATGTTGTACATTGCAAAACAAATGTGTGAAAACGGTGGACTTTACCTTCCCGTAGGGCTCGAAAACAAATAATCTGGTGGCATTAATCGCATGATTATTGCAGCTGTCAGTCACAGTAAGGCAAGGATAGAAAAAATAGCCAGAATATGGTGGTTTAGCACCCCTCTATGTAAACACTTCAGTACTATACGACCCAGTCAGTCGCATAGTTTTCCAATTTATACAGATATCCAAAATATTAATCAGAATTAGATAAGTTACACCGAGCTAATATTCAATAGTTCTAGCCTCGAAAAGCTGCGTTTATGCATGTAAGAGAGGAATAGTTATCCGCCAAACAGTTACGTGGTTTTAGCACATGGCCGAAACAATCGTCTTTAAATTCACCGCCCATATGACGGCCCGAACAAGGATGCAGCCACATGCTCCCTTGCTCTGTTAGACGACATCCTCGTACGACAGTCTGGTTCGGTAGGTCGACAGACGCTTTGGACTTTGTGGGTAACATTTTTTATGTACTTGTGAGTAGTTACGTACCTGGGTTTGAGGATGCCAGGCAATGGTTGTACTCACATCGAACGTTGTGGACCATCTTATCCCTCAACTAGAGTTACTTCCTTTAGCCATTAGAAACAAAGCTGACAAGTATGATCGGGCAGTATTGCTGTTTGCCCATAGCGGAAACCAGGATATTGATGTGCAGACAAATATCCATGATGGGTCAGGCAACAAAAGACACATTCGATAAACTCCATGCTGTGGAACGACCACCAGAATTTCGATTCTCTTGCTATTTGGGTTTTGAGAGAGAATCTGTTATTCAATAATCTCACCCACCTGTCTCAGTCAACGGAAAGAGTTCACCTTTTGAAATCTTATTTCAGGGCAAAATAGAGATGGAATTGGAATTGTTGACCAAAGCTGAGGCGATAGCAAGACCGGCTGGAATTGCCAGAGACGAACCGAACGAAAATCCTCATCTTGAGCCCCCAAAGTGAGTTGAAATAGATAGTTTTCATTTTCGAGATTAGGTAGACGCTCCAGCATTCGTGTTAACTGAACAAATCTCTGTTCTACTCCCCCCCCCACACACACACCCTCACAGACGACCTGAGACATCGTTCTTTTGGTTGACTTCTCCGTGGAAGACATTCAAGTATATTGTCTGGAAACGATTCCGATGGCTCATCCTGGGTATACTGATAGCCATTCTACTAGGCCTATTGATTGTCCTATTTGTTTACGCTATGCCGGTGAGTTTACGTTCTCCACTTACTAACTAGATATCCAAAAAAGCGATTTTTTTTACTGTGGTCAACAACAACAACAAGCCTTGGTAAGAGAAAAAATTCGTGTGGAATGTCTGACTACGCTTTTCACTTGGATCATGAATAGCGAGCGTACTAGTGTTTTCACAGCTTGTAGTGTTGCACAGTTACAACAAAAAAGTAATAGACCTGAAGTGATAGAAAGCCGTCCAAAATTTGTGAACATTCCAACAAGTTGGACGAACAATAGCGTGATAACTTGCATTCCCAACAAGGTAGCTAGCTTATTATCTGAGAGTTCGTTCTGGTGATTGAATGGATTCGAGGACTCAAAACCTTGTTCGACTTCAGTGTTAGCACTACCGTATGGCCACAACTTTCTGCTAGTTATCTTTAGGGGCTCAAGTTGGAAAAAACGAACAGTGCACGGTGAGGGAATTTAGTGCCGGTTCACCATACTCATTCTGATGTGCTTATATCTCCATTGAAAACCGGAAGTACGAATGTCGCCGACATCGGTTAGTCACCTTATCCATATCCAGCTAGATGCAGAGGGGTCACGGAGACCGTCTTAGAAGGTGAATTGCACAACTAGTAACCAAACTTTTCGTAATCCCTTTAGCGCCCTCCTACTAAGTCACAAGTTGTCTGACTAAGCGAGTGACTGATTAGGACATATTTCTACGGGAATTTGAGATTGATATAATCTCTCCGTCACTCGCAACCCAGACCTCCCGAACATCCTACGTGCAACAGACATCAAAGACCTTTCATAGGTAACTCGGTTAGTGAAATTCTGTTTTGAGAATTGTTATTTACTTTGTGCTTGTGTGATTGGTCACGGCTTTCGTGCCCTCGGAAACGGCGTACATGGCCAATTCACCAGCAAGGAGTAGACGGACAGCAGTCTAGATTTCTCTGCTGGTGATGATCGAGCTCTTGTTGTAGTGAGCGAGACGACTGGACTCAGCGGCAATGCGCTCAAAGATGTCGTTGACGAAGTTCATGTGGTGTCGGGGTGCAACTGACGGGGGACTTTGTATATATAGATGGTATCGTTCTCCTTCACTTCTTCGTGTCAACTTTTGGGAGGACATGTAATGCGGCCAAATCATCTTCAGCACTGGCTGTCTAATCAGACATGTGAAAGACAAACTTTCTTGTCGGATCAACTCTGTGTTTACCAGTTGTTCTGGAAACGGGTATGTCAGTCAAACAGCGAGTTAACCTAGACAGTTGTCTGAGCACATTCCGGCTCGTTTTCCCAAGGAACAATGACCTGCCGGTAACAGTTCAATTTCGCTCCAGGATGTTATGTCAACGTTGCAACGGTTTTAAACCTATTTATGAAGCTCCATAAAGGCTGTAGAAAGCATTTAGATGTATCACTGTGCCATCGGCATGGTATTTACAGATTTCGAGTTTGTACTGAGAAGCAATAAAGATACTGGCGCCCATGTGGTAGACAATAGCATCTTAACTAGATGTGGTTCTCAGACGATACGTTAGTTCTGACGAGCACCTTGTCCCCTGACTTATGTCTAAATCAGAACAAATACTGAAAATGTTACTTCAAATCTATTCATGTTGCTTCTAATCGAAGTGAAGATGCGAATACATAACTTTCAGTTTTGAGTGAGTCTTTCAGTGTGGCCGGTTAGGTCAGTAAAATATATTGTTATATACACCATAATATCTAACCTGTTAAGTCACACTCATCATCATCATCGACAGCATGACATCAGTGTTCAACACCGATGCTTCACTACCATACAACCATGAGTATCATGGTCGTACGAGGGCTGGGATACTGCCAGGGCGCCCATACCTAGACAGGAGGACGATTAGGGTCCTCAACCAAAGCCTTTGGCTAAAAAGCCTAGTCGTAAGGGAGCATTGTTTGGCGGGAAATGCGATTGCATTATCATGTTCCAACCCCCAAACTGGAGGGCCAGAAAACTGTGCTCGTCAGACCTCTAACCACTGACCAACCTGGTGTGAGAGGCTCTGAGTGTCGCGGGACACTCCCCAGTGCCAGCTCGTGACGGTAAGTCACAGTGGACTGCTTCCGCAAGTGATAATTGAGTTTCAGAGCCTTGTCTGTCTGCACATACGTCTCGATCATTTTTCTGAACTGTATTTTGATGTGTAATGAAAAATGACAACCACCATTGGATGAATCCGTCATAAACATTTCCATACCCTTCTTCCAATTCCAGGGCCTGTTAGCACGAAAAATTATCAACGTCTAGCCCGACGAAAGAAATCACATGCCTTATCCGATACCCTCCAGTCAATCGCGTGTGTTGATCAAGTGTCGGTGGCTGCTTACTCCACCCAATCGCCATGAAAACGCGTTTCTCAATACTGACCGCCACTAAACGGCTTGGCGCGCTTAGCGTCAGTACTATCATTTCAGTCATCATATCAGCATCACCTTTGGACCTCACAGGAACAGATTTCGTCTTTCATTACCTTTCTAAACTATCTTTGGTGTTCGGACTAGGTAAAGCAATTGGTAAATGAGTGTTACAGACCAAGTGTTGTTGAAAGAGATATTTTTGGTTGAATGTATATCACTGGTAAACCGTTGACATAATCCAGACTGACACGGTGAGCATAAAGTTATTCGTTGTAAGGAGGCTTTTGGATTACTTTTTCTACAGATGGTACCTAGAGTGAACGTGTTAGAACTGCGTCGCTCCATAAAGGGAACAATTACGAACCGAACTAGGGTTCACGGATAGATCAGAAACACATTTCGTACGGAAAGTACAAGAGCACCACCACAGTGTTACTCTGTGCAGATGATAATGATGGTGAACGATGTATCACGCTAATGATAGTCTCATCCTCCAAGCCTGAACTCAAATATCGTTCAAAGATAAGGAACAAACAGCCCACTACTCTACGAACCAGATCATAAAACAAAACAAAGCAAGACAGGTAGTAGCGACTGCTTTTCATAAGAAAGGTAGTAGAGCAAACATGAAATTTGAGAACGATGGGAGCCGTATAAATAACACGGAAATGCGCGAATTTAGGCAACTGTGATAGCTTTTGGCGCATCCAGCGTACTGTCTACACCGTTTGTTGCCTCATCCTGTGGTGTAACAACGTGTTCCGACCACTTGATTTCAACAGTGCTTTTCTCAGAGGCAAGTCGCAGGAATTGATCTGGAAGGCGATGAAAAAAATAACAGTGTGTAACCTGGAGGAGCTGCAATAAAGATGCAGGTCAGCTCAACGAGGTAACATTATGCTCATGAAGTTACAAATGAGTCACTTGGACGCTACCCTATCAACGATAAACATAGTTAGGAAGTTGAAGGATGCTTGAAACGATACGATAGCATCAGAGTGACTGCGATTTTATGAACACTCAGTCATCAGAATGCCCACTATTACATTTCACAAAGTGAACTTATGTCTATGCAATGCGAAACTCATCCAGTCAAGTGAGATTGATCTATGGATCGCAAGTGACTGCGATTTTATGAACACTCAGTCATCAGAATGCCCACTATTACATTTCACAAAGTGAACTTATGTCTATGCAATGCGAAACTCATCCAGTCAAGTGAGATTGATCTATGGATCGCATGGTAGAACATTAATCTGAGCACAACCAATACTGCAGTCAGAAGTGCGCCTCACCAAAACTTCAAGAGTAAAAATTCGGACTGAAGTGCATATTTATCTAGCGTGAGAAAACGTACCACAACTCGCATCTTCCGCGCATTCGTCAAACGTGAACAGAATCTCGTATGCATCGTGGAGTAAAGCACGCAACAACGTCTGAGCAGCGCAGCAAAGTTCGTCCTGCAAAATAAATCCGAACGGGATGGAATTCGGTTACGAGTGAAACCCCTCATTCAGTCGAGCCCTCATGGAACAACGTTTACTGTCGATCGCTTCTTAACTACTCATTTTTACAAGTAGTTGAAAACGAAAATGGTTTACGAGTGAGCGGATAGGCAAATCGTTCGGTTTCCGAACCAGTCCCGAAGGACCGATGGGATCATGAATGTTATCTGAGTGTTTGTGTGGGACTAGCAGGAAACTAACAGACTCTCAAGCCTCAGAAAGTGGTTAAAATAAAGATATCCCAGCCAGTTTATCGCCTCAGAAAGTTTGAGGACTGTTCTACACAGGTAACTGTCTTTACAGCCCGTTAACCGATTACCCAACTGAAACACTAGGAAACCTAGACCGGGAAGAAAAGCACGCAGAACTGAAAAATAGTTCTTGCATCTTCTAACCAACACGATGCTTGACTATGCATTGACACAGTAGCTTTGTCAAACAATCGAAATGAGGGATAAATTGAAAACGCTTGAAGTTGAGAACAAGCAGGTCATTTGTAATGCGTTTGAGCTTGGTCAGGAGAGGCCGAAGTGAAAGTTTCCTCCGGTAACTCAGGGATGACGGATGGTCCGGCAGACGAAAGATAATACACTTAATCGATGGCTTTAGTGTGACAGCGGGAACACACCGATTCATTGTCTTTGATGTATCACCAGTGAACTGACAGGATAGGAACCACAGGAGGGAATATACGGGAGGCTGGCTGTGCTGGGAGAGATGGCCTAGGTACTTAGATAATCGCGTTTCTGTATGAAACTCATAACGCAATAAGAGAACTACTATTTAGCTCCCTAATCAAAATCTTCTAAATCCTCAACTCCACCGCATCAACTCAAACCAGTGTCCGTTGGCTGTCTGGGGAGACGAAAGTCCGGTCCATTGTGAAAATCAGCAATAGCAATGACCGGCAGAGGTACGGTGAATCAACACACCGCCTAAGTATGTATGGGAGGTGCGTGTAAGAGTCCAAGATACTTCAGCTGACAGAGCTTTCCCCCATTGAGTGAGAGCTCGCGAGTTAGAGTCAAATCGTGACGTTTGTCCGCATTCTATGAACTTGGGTTCCCATTCATTACTATTTAGGGCTTCAACTCCCCACAATAAATACCAAACAGAAGCATTCTGGGTCTGGTTAGTCCGTGGCCTCCAATGCGTTGCTGTCACCTGACTATTCTTGCAGCCCCAGATTAGTGGGAGCATGGCGGCAAATCACTACCAAAAGGTTTACAGCTGACGAACTGGACTAAACCTCGAGAACATGACGTTCACACTCGGACATATAGTAAGGAGGCAGATTACATTTGAAAGAGAACTTAAAATAAGGAGGAAGCGCTGGGTGTGTATTGTCAGAAACATACCATGATCAGTGACTGCTAAGGTAAAGAAAATGCTCGGTTGTCGAATAAGGAGTTGCGTTTCAAAAAACCGAAAATGGATAAGAACAGGTGAATAAAGCCTTGGCGAGTGACTTGAAACAAAACGGAATCAGTGGTAGCGTGAGATCTGGTAATTTTCAAGTGACCTTTCCTTCTGTAAGCGGAGTCAATCTACGATGAAATGTCGAGAAGCCCCGTACAGCTGTGCGATGCTTCTCAGCCTTTCAGCATAGATTGACTTCATTTCCAAGACGGACTTTCAATTGCAAACTGAATTATTCAACAGGTACTCAGCATGTTCTTTTGATGGCAAACTAAATTATACCAAATAAAAATAGAACTATACCAAGAAAACAGGGCGAAATGCGCGGTTGGACGTTTTTAAATACCTGGAACTCACCTGTTCCGCTAAGGTCATGGTGGTATGAAGCCGTAAAGAACCCGGTTCGCAGGGGTCGATCACACCAGCGCTTCCAGGAAGTAGCATCCCTGAAGACAGCAGCTGCAGAAACCGTCTAGGGTGAAAGGCGAGGGGGAAGGTGTTTACGATTCTTCCAGTTTATAAAAATTCCGCCCCAAGGTGATGCAGGCAGAATTGGCAAATAAATGAGGCATTATTTTTACACGGAATAAGGTTCACACATACCGAAAAGCTTGATTGACTGGAAGCGGTTGATGACTCGGATTTTGAACAACCACATGAAGGGCCTGAAAAAGAAGGAAATTTCGTTGGCTGGTCGGCAAAGGAATGTATTCACCCATTATTCTCGTAAAAAGAAAGGGAACACCTACCACGACCGGAAACAAGAACTTCACTTGTACCTTTGCCAACAAGCTGGTACGTTTGACGGAACCATGGTGCCTCTCAGTTGATGACAACGACGACGTATCCAAGTAGAATATAACAGTAGACTGTTCTATCTGCATATAGTCCAGACAGCAAGAATGCTTGTGTGTTACGTGCGTACCGTCAAACCAAACCATAGTCCAAGAAATTTCTTGGATGACATCAGTTTCTTGCGGAAGACCCCGAAAACCGGTCGGTGAATCAACCAATCAGTCAACCAACCAACCAACCAATCAATCAATCAATCAATCAACGCAAATTTACTGACCGGGCCAATCAATCAATCATCAATCAAGCAGTCGGTTGAGTGCCCAATTCTGTGTGCTCTGTTTAGGTTTATAACGGGAGAGTCGTACTTCAAATAAATTTTGTGGTAGGAAGAAGGAAGTCGGTTTGATGGTTAGACGGTGAAAAACAAGTTACGCTTTGTTGCATCACAGTCTACTGCGCATTAGGTGTCACAAAATGACACGTCGAGATTTTCACGCAGACACGAATATCATGGTTGGTCGGCTTATTGAAGTTTCTTTTAACGGGTATTCCACTCCTGGAATAGGTCACTAACGCAATAACCCTCGGATAGAGACAACCGTATGAGTGAACTCGAGGCAAGACAAACCATTTTTATCACACAAAAAATATATCAGTATAGAGCCCAAAAGTCAAAAGACCCCGGTAAGAATAATTTTCTCTCCACCTGTAAACTGCAGCATTGCGGATTAAAAAACTATATCAATCTACTCCTAAACATGCATCAGTCCCATTCAAAATCTAATAAACTACCGCCTCAGCTGACAAGCTGTTGTGTAGCAAAGAGCTCTCTAAGAAAGGCCAGATGGTGAGATGGCCCAAGTGGTTAGAGCGCAAATTTACTGACCGGAAGGTCCGTGGTTCGAACCCAACCTCTGCCTCTCGACTTCCCCTGTCTGGGCTTGGGCAACCGGGCAGTACCTCAGCCCTTGTGCAACCTTCGGGTGGCATGGCAGTTAGGCACAGCTACTGCTACAGCAGCTGAACCACACAAAAAGGGGAAACTTAGCACATTCTCCGGGCGAATTTTCTTCGGAAGAGGAGTCGCATACTAAATCGTCAAAGCAGTTTTACTAATCATCAGGAGAATAATAAAATAGCCACACAAGACCGAGAATTCTTGCAATACGATAAAACGTTTCCGGAAGGTTCAAGTCAACCAAAACCGGATCAGACATGGATTGTAAGGAGTGCATGTCCATGTATCTGTCGTTAATTTGAGGATATGTTCAACCCATGCTTTGTTTAGATTTCCATCGGCCTCATTGACGGGAGAAAAAATAAAAACCAATCAGTTTTAGCACCCTTTGGGTGCCTAACTGCCATGCTACTCGAAGGAAGCAGGAGAGCTAAGATACTGCCGGGTTGCCCAAACCTAGATAGGGGGAATCGAGAGGCAGAGAGCGGGTTCGAATCACGGACTTTCCGGTCAGTAAATTCGCGCTATCTCACCTCCACTGACGGAAGAATGGGTGTCAATAAAGCAGAGATTCCCAAACTGTGATACGAAGACTTTTTTGGGAAAGGAGGAGAAAAAGTGGCAAAGCTTTCGTCAAGATTGCCGTGGGCAGCCTCGCTTCAACATTTTCTTGCGAAGAATCATGACAGTAACGTGAAAACCTTTACAAAGATACATCAAATTATATGTTTGAATGGAAATCGGACTTTCGGGCCAATTGAGTACCATTTATCTCTCGATGCACGAGTGCTGCTACCTCAGCTGGATTGAAGTACTGGAGTCTATAATCGCATTTTTGAATTGCAGTTCCACAATGGGTAACCTTCTAGCATGTACTGAGGCGATGAATTGTGACCAAAATGATTGCAGACCCCCCATCGTGGTTCTTGATTCCATTGATTTCTCCATTCGTGTGTGAGTGTCCTGCCTGTTCCACACTCGGAGACGGGGACTTGTGAACCTTTCCGTGGGCAGTACGTGGGAGTGGTGCAATTGGCTGCTCTGTTCTTGAAGTTCCTGGAGTTGAGGTCGTATAAAAGATCGAGGATATTGGAAGACCGAAGCGGATTCACTTGCAGTACTATGTCTGTCCTGTGGCCCGAAGCGCAGAAGTACTCTGCTCTCGTTGGTCAGATGAGTAAGCTCGGTGGGTCAGTATAACTGATCGGACGCACTGCCTGATGATTAGATTACATCGATGAATAGAGTTCAGAGATCAGTAAGGCAAAGTTGCATGCAACAAGTTCAAGAGGCTCTATTAGCATTCATTGAAAACCGGCAGACTGTTTCAAAGTAAGCTCTTGACTCATCGAACTCATCGAGTTTGGAGCTGTTGTCATGGTTTCTTGTGTTTGGAGGGCTACATTCCCATCAATCTACTCTGATTTTATCAAACGTATTGGCTCAGCGTCAGTAATTCAAATTTTTAATGAAGGCAATCGAGCTGTCAGGGTGTTTGATGTTGAGGCGAGTGACAAGAGACTCCGAGTTATGTTCGGAGGTTGCGGAATCCCCATGAAGCTACAAGAGTGGGCACCATAAACGGTTAGGTAGGCACGCTGGGTACGGCCGAGCTTAATGATCGAGTAAGACAACAGTTTGTGTCATGGGGGTGCAAACAGATCCAACAAATAAGGCTTTCCTGCAATTTTACGGATAGCTCTGCTTTGTTCGCGTGGGTGCAGTTGCTGTTCGGTTGGAAGCTGTGCGTAGCAGTTTCTTCCTCCTTAGCACAATTTCTCAGACACCATGATTTCGTCACGACGTATTCTGTCCGAAGCGTACGCTTCAGGTTTCTGATAAAACTAAAAAACAGCCCACCCTGACCGGTTCAGTTCTGTTGTTATCATTGTTTATCCAGTCCCATCTCTACCTAACTCAAACTTGGACCGCAGTGAACTGCATGCCGTTGGAATGACTATTTCACTTGACTGTTTGAAGACAGATCCACCCGATAAGATGGCTTATGCGTCACCCATTAGTTGTTGTGTTCTACTGGCTGAATGAGAGTCACTCAGTGCACCCGCAGGATTATGGGCTCAAAGGGTTTAATATCCTAACTACTTGATTTTGGACACAGGGTAGTTTGTGTTCTGCACTCCTAGGGAATATAGTGCATTTCATCCAGTACGTTGACGCTGAGTACCACGTGGATGCAAGAAAGTACCGTGTGCGCTGACGGAGAGCTCAGCAGCTCCTTATAGGAACGTGTCCATTATTATGACCGAATCACTTACCAAAAGATTGATCATCCATGAGTTCATATATTGAAATGCTTTGAACCGTCGACGAAAGTCCTTGATAATTCTAATCAGTACCTTGACTCTGTCAAGTGAAGATGTAACAGGTTAGTAGTTAATTGGTGATCCAAACAGACCAAGTTACGAAATTTCGGAACACATTTAATCACAATGAGACGCCAAAAGTGATGTGGGCTCAACTGTAAACTGTTGAAAGCAACTTACGCAGTGTGTGAGACATTGTCATCCAGCCAGCGAGTATGCCTGAGTGCAGCTAGAGCAGTCTTCTGTGTTGACGGATTGACTGAAAAGAGAAAGCGAGAAAGAACATGACAAGTACACCGACACTGATGAGAAGGTAAGGAAAACGGACACGATGGCGGCAAGCAGAGAAATGAGTTATGTCTACGGCTGCACCCGCTTATAAATTAGCCTGTGAATAGTCAAACTAAGACAAAAGTTTTGAAGAGCTGCTAGCCGAGTTCAATTTAGTTTTTGAACGATGAAACGTGCACAGTTGTGTTTTGGTCCGGGTTACTACAACCTGAACCATACTCACCAAATCGCTTCACTTGTGACTTCAAAAGGGCATACCTAAAGCGTCGTAGTATCGGCTGTGTAGCTATGTGGTTGTGAGATAGCCTGTGCAAGACGGTTGTGGTTAAGGGCACGAATTTACAAACCGGAAGATCCGTGGTTCGAGCCCGAGCTCTGCCTCTCGACTTCTCCTGTCTAGGCTTAAGCAACCTGGCTTTCTTCTGGTGGCATGGCAGTTGGGCACCTAAAGGATCCTACAGCTGAACGCTATTTTTCCCATGTGAAAAGAGGAGCTGACGCGTGTTCGGGCTTTTGACCACAATTCCTCACGACCATATGCGTTGGATGGCATCACTGAACTCAAGGTGATTAGAACACGGTTTGCTGAGCAGCAGATATTTCAGACGCAGGAAACACCTAGGACTATGAGCTTTAGTAGCTTGGACATGTGCTACGCATGTTCTATGATTGTGTGCAGAGATCAGATATGTTTTCCGTGCCTTCATCGGAATGGGGAAAACTGCGAGGTTGACGACCTGTGACTTGGTGGAAAGGAATAAAGAAATTTCGAAAGGTTCGGGTGCAGCTGGTCGAGTCCTCATGGCCCTCCCTGCACTTGGTTGGAAATACTGTGATTAACTCATCTTCGCTTCCTCACTGGCCTATCAAAATGAATTACCCGGCTGAACTTCGATGTTGCTGTCTATGAGGATAACGATAGAAGGCAGTTGACCGTCGATGACGTGAAAACGAAGACGGGGGCTAAGTAGGATCGATAAAGCGCTAGAGAATAAGAATAAGAGGTAGAAGAATAGGGATAAGTGGATGGATGCAAAAGGGTAATCGGTCACCTGATGCCGCCATAATAGTGGGTGTCTCCAGCTATTGACGAAATGGGACTTTGGTCCAAAGCCCTCACAAGGAATATGAACCAAAACAACTGAGGCCCCTGGTTAAGCTTTTCGTGGCCCATCCTAGATCAAACGTTATCCGCCCTACGCTTTCTTCCCATGAGAGAAAGCTTGGACATACTATATACGGAAATTAGTGATACAGCTTATCGTTTTACTAAATATGAATACAGTACTGCGCCCTGATGATGATAGGGTATTTCCTTTCCTGCAATTCACGCACCATTGATGATACTTCGGTTGTACCCGAGTGTATATTTCGTCTGAATTGTGAGTGCTTCAGGTGCCCGTTAGCTTCATCTATCCGTGAGTAGCAAACTGGTACAATGTCGCAAACATGTAGACGGGTCGTCTACAGGTCCATTAGAAACTAGCATTTTTCATCAATCTCAAGTCGTTAAAGAACCAGTAAGCAGGTTGCCTATCGCAAAAAAGTATCCCCAAAGAAAAAAATGCGGTAGTCATTGAGTTGTGCGTTGCTTCAATCGGATTCGTTCAGCTTCATTACCTCCAATCGAACGGTAAAATATCCCCAAAGATGAGGCTTTCTGCGTGAAATCAGATTCAGTCAAGAAGATTCCACTGATGCAACGGCATAGTGTGTCAGCGATATTCATGATATACACTGATTTAAGTCGACTTGTGAATTAGCATCAACAGCATTATGAGGCTTCGTCCTAAGGGTTGAATCAGCAGTTTGGGGAAAGAAAAATAGGCCCTTTGGCTCTCGGGAGTCCCAGAAAGTCCATTCGATGACAGCGTTTCCTCTTTCAGTTCAGTTTGGTTTATCAGCTATAAACCATGTGCCAAGATTACACGGTTCCGGCTGCTATCGGAGAATGAGAGAACGTGGGAGACAGATCCAAGCACTGCATATGACGGCATGAATAGTCTATTCGTATTGTAAACTGCTCTGAGGAAACGGAGAATTTAGCAGCTACGCACTGAAGAAGATAGATTCGATGCGAGAGCATCACTGGCTGTGAGAATAAGAGCACCTTTAACCACTGATGAGTTGAGTCCGGGGGTCCTCATCCAGGGAGGTGGCATTTATCAACCAGCTAGTATCTTAAACTTCGTCTGTCTCTCCGTCGCCAACACTCAACACAGGGATGGACAAAAAGACCTCTGCGTTTCTTTATAAGAGCCACACAAACCGAAATATCTGTGAGTTTCGGAGAGAACACGCTATGTTAAATATTAAGATACTGCACTGAGAATTCCACATCGATCTATGCCAACTGAATGAGCAATACACTAATGGTCTTGCTTTTAGGAATGCCAAAACTCTTGTTTTTGGGTGGTCTCTTGTATTTAACCCTTAGGTTTTCGAGATCAAGAAAGTAAACCAACTCGGTTAGTTACACTTAACAGAACCTAGTCCGTGACTTACTGACTGTCATTGACCAAATTTCTTTTCAGTGACTAGCCTTTACGACAGTCCGGCTTGAATTGGCATATTGGTTATTCCAGTACACTTGTAAATGCCTAAAAAACCCTCCTAGTTTGAACAAGTATAAATAATTAAAGTAGGATTTTGATCTGGGTTGTGTAGAAGGAAGAGGGGTTTGCTAGTTGTTAGCACCACGCAGGGTTGAACAGTCTCAGAAATGGGAAATTATTAGCTGACCACTGTCTCAAAAAGTTTACACTGTAGCGTTGTTGATGCACAATACACTGTGAAGACTGTTCCGAAGAAAACCAGTTCAGATTAAAAGGTTACGTACTGTGTATATCCGCATCAACTTTGGCAATGTTTGAAGGAGTAGTCGTAACGAACACACGTACAATCGATGGACCCACGGTGACAGAAAATCCATAATACTGCACATTGACGCTGACGGGCTCGGCTGGCTTCGTAGATGCCAGTTTACTCTCCACAAGGCTCTGAATACCTTTCAGTAATTCCCCAGTGGGCAAAATACGAGTCACGATTACAACATCCGCCGTATTGTGGCCTGCCAACACGGTACCCAATTTGAATGATCCGACAGGTCGAATTTCTTCGATGTGCTGAGATAAAGGTAAAAAAAAGTCACAGAGGGGGTGAATAAATTGGTCCACATTCTCTCCGGTCTAACTGGAGACTGTATCACACAGCTACGGCAAGAGTAAGATGAAAGATTCCCGTTTATCGAATTCGACACACGCGAGCAAAACTGCACAACCACTAACCCACCGCTACGCACTACTGCGCTCCACAGTAACGCACTGATGATGTCACCTCTTATTGGTGATAAACGTTTGCAATCAAATTGCCCAGCTCAGCGAACAAGCGAACGATAATCATCTACGCTACCTGAGCTACCGACATTTTCCTCTATAGAAAACTGCATTCCACATTGTTAGCACCCTAGCTGCGGCTATACTGTACTTACGCTTGAAAGGCGAATAGAATAGAACGTCGCAACTGCAACTAACAAAACCCCAAGCTTTTGAAATGGAGGACCCACCACCATACTAACACTAATCTCGTTTACGATGGCATTATAGCGATCCTGGGGATACTTTCCATTACGTTAAGCGTATTAAGCAAACTCACGACCTAGGCTTCTGCTCATAGTTACGCACTGAGACGCACATCTGTGTTTCAGAGACTGATGATTTGGTTGAGTAGAACCTTCCGTGCCGTGCACACAAGAACCCGCAACTTCTGACATTGACACGCGCCAAGTCTCTCAGTCTAGCACAGCGTGGTGTCCTTTGCAGCCCGTTCAGATAATATATTCATAAAATGTAAATGCTTGTTTCTTCTAGTTGAATTCCCAATCTAGTGATTGGGGCATGTTATATACTGTTACTCTATTGACCTTTTGAGGTATATCGCTAGTGTGGCGCGCGCAGGACTAAAACATAGGTGAGTCAGTACAGGAATGTGTCCTACGGGTCATAGTCGATTGGGCTCCTATGAACAGTAGTTTGATACAGTGAACAAAACAGAAACGACACTCACCCCAGCAAGTGGACCCGTAGGGCTTATTATTGCGCCATCGACTATTTCACAAATACGGTTGACCAGCGTCGTCAAGGCTTGTTGTTCACCGGAAGAAGGTATCAGTGACTCGTGATAGCTAAGGAGACATTCCGTGAAAGCACCATCATCTAGTGCATTGACAAGTTGAGGCTCATAAATTGTCAAATCAAAGGGTAATTGAACAACAAATGGTGGATGTTGGGCTCTAAAATTAAGACAAAGATAGATAGGATCCCGTTACTGAGATTTCATAGGAAGTTTGTGTCCCCTAAACTATCATAAAAATAGACACAAGATCTCACATACTTTCCCCCTATTGTTTTCTGGCCGAGCATAAAGCGGGTTACCATATGTTCAGGTAATAGCACATAAGATTTGTCTTAGAACCTTCAAGAACCTAAACCAGTCTGCAACCGCGTTCTGTTACACGAGGGTTACCATTCCATATTGAGATAGAGGGGCTTGTGGGGGACTCACAAGATTATCCACAGTCTCTAGTTATGCAGTAACTTTCTGGCTGTGAATTGTGGATTGCAAGTATAGTTTGGAGGGCAGGGATGAGCCGCGAAGCCAACAGCGATGACATACACATCTCCATTACCTAAGAGACAACATTATGCCTGATTATAATTTACAGTCCGAAATGTAGTATGTGTCCACAGAAAAAAAAGAGCTGGAACCCTACGTGAGGATTTTCCCGCTAGAGAGATACACAAGATAGGCTTGACAAAACGCTTGCGTTCAAGGTGGACAGTTCCAAAGACGACTGGGCAAGATGATGACCGATCGGAGGCAAAACGATTTCATAATGAGGGGTCGGCGACCAACGGTAGCCAGGGTTAGTATAACGCGCAGTAACATACAGGTAGGTTCAAATAAAATACCGTCGATGCATGGAGGTATAGTTAAGATGCGCTAATTGTGGAGAAAATGAGTCACATAAGCTCAGCATGATGACCTGTAAAATGCTTTTGTAAGACCACCGGATATTTGAAGAAGCTGGTACAGATACAGTAGAAAAATTTGTGTCAATAAGTAACTAGTGAAACCCTGAAAAACTAACGCACAAAACCATTTGAAAAGTCACCTGTCTGCTGTTAAAATGCATCTAGTGTAAATAAATCAGAGATGTTGCAATGTTACAGTTCAGATGTGCACACTCACCCTCTCTGACGAAAATTCCGAGGACCACGAGTAGACATGGGTAGAACTCAAATGGCTGAAAAATGGCAAAAATCAATCGCCTAGCATCAGAATAACAAGTAGTTCAACATTGGAGACCACTAGTTTCAGGTGGAAGGGGTAAGGAGCACCTCACAACAGGATTTTAGGACTGAACTGGCACCTATGTTCATGTAGTCTCTTCTTCATTCTTGGGCTTGAATACCTGCACACCTGTGCTCTCTACCATGGAATAATTTCCTACCATTGACTGTGGATTTCGGTATACTACGGACCGCATGGATAGAATAACGCAAACTCTAATGAATTAGTTCCCTACGGACCAAAAGACAAGACTCTGACCTCGAACGCGCGTGGTTCATCTCTCCAAGTGAAAGGAGTTCTGGACATCTCCGGATCTACGCAATTAATTTGATTCGTCGACGACTCTACAGACGCCAAAAATCTTCGAGACTGGACAACAAGACAATAAAAAAGTAGCCTACACAATGCGCGCCATAAAAATGTGGGAGGCGGGACGACTTAGACATGTTTTGCGATGACTGTGAACGATCGCATCACAGACTGCATAAACGTTCGGAAAGAACCACAAGAAGCGATACCTGGTGGAAGCGCTCAGCAGATATTACTTATGCGAGGCGAGATATACTGACAAAATCCCCCAACCTCCAACTGGGTAGCCGACGAACCGGGATTAATCTTTAAATAGTCCCTTGAAACCTAGCCAACACACCACCCGAATGAAGCAAGAGAGCCGAGATATTACCAGCTTTCCCAAGTCTAAACAGGAGAAGCCGAAGAGCAGGAATTGGGTTCGAACCACGGACCTTCCGGTTGTGTTGTATTTTTGCTCTGTTTTCTTGAAGCGTTTCATCGTTCATTGCTAAACACCCTCTCGTTTTAGCTCGCGGCACCAAAGCTTTGGATGAATAAAGCCTAGATTCTGGAACCTTAGTCCCTACCATTCTTATTCTGATTGTTACCGCACTCCGTTATTCGTCAAACGGGGCGAGATGGCCCAAGTGGTTAGAGCGCGAATCTACTATCCGGAAGGTCCGTGGTTCGAACCCGACCCAATCTAGGCTTGGGCAACCTGGCAGTATCTCATCCCCTGTGCTTTCTTCGAAAAACATTGCTAGTCAAACACAACAATTTATTCATCCAAAAAGTTTAATCGAACATTGGATCGATTCTTACGTCCTGAAAGGTTCGGTACCTATCCGAATACTCAAAACTCACCAGATATCTGGGAGCACTGGTTTTATACTTCCACGAATTTCCCTGATCCCATTTCTTATCATTCACCGAATAAACTCAAAACCTTATTCAATTAAGTTGCTCTTAGTTTAGGGCTTCACGAAAGACTGTAAGGATGACGAATCAGTTGTTGCTACCTTACGGGAAACTTATGTACAACCGGCATTTTTCGAATACTTCTGCGCAAGACGGAGATCAAAATACGGGTCTATTTGTGCAGAAGCTTCGCAGTTTGTTGGCAGATTGCAACTTTAGGGCTGTCAGCATAGCTATGAAGCATTACGAGACGTATTTATTGGTGAACTTTATTCGAACATTATTCGTCGGAGGTTATTGGAACATACGTCCCTGAATTTTAAAATCACCAACGACCATAAAAAATCCCTCGAATCAGCGCGAAAACAGTCGCAGTCGCTTCTGCCGAATAGTCAAATCCCCTGTGCTACCATGTCGAACGACCCACCAAGGTCTCCGCGTTCTCAGTCATCATCGCATCAACAGATGACTGTTGCTATTATGGGGTCTTCACGCTTCTTCTGTGGCTATGCTCGTCAAAATAAGAAAATCATTCATCTGCAGCACCCTTTCGGTGCCTAACTGCTATGCCACCCGAAGGAAGCACGAGGGCTGGAATACTACCACGTTGCACAAGCCTAGACAGGGGAAGTCGAGAAGCAGAGGTCGGGTTCAAACCATGGAATTTCCGGTCAGTAAAATCGCGCTCCAACTATTGAGCCATCTTGCCCCCTATGCTCGACACGCGCATTATAAATGCCCCGCTAAAGACGCAACCTGCAAAAACTGTGGAAAAAGCACTTTCAAAGCGTATGCAGATATACTACTGGTCGGAGAAACACCTCATCCGCTTTAAGTGCACTATCTTGCATTAGTGCTGCGGCCCCCGAGTGAAGGCTAACGGTGTTCCACTTTGAGCTATTGTTGATATTGAGGAAAGTTTCATTTTTGAAAATGCAGTCCGTCGTAATCAGTAGCCTGTACTGCCGTCGTCATCTGAGATCACTTTGGCACCCACCCAGCACAAAAGCTTCACTCTTGCACATTGTTTTTTAACATTGCAACATAAACATGTATCCCCTTTAAGGTTTTCAGTATTACGTGATTTCTGTGCGGAGATCCCACTTTCTTATGCTTTACAAATCCCTGAGAATCTCATTCAACGGTGACAAACTTTTTTCCCTCGCTTCGTTTACTTCGTTTACGCATCTTGATCCAAGGTGTAAATCCATTGTCATGATATCCAGACGATATTCTGCAGATGGCGAGGTTTTGATTGCATCAGAATTAAAGCGTTTACTCACTCAACAAACCATTGAATACTCAAAGTCACCAAATGCTCGTGAAGAGAAGTGAGCGATAAAGAAAACGAATGGTTGGTAACTACAGCCAAACGATAAACCAATTTACGCAACTGGACGCTTATCGACTCCCAGAACTGAGGGTGTGGGTAGTAAAATAGACAAATGTCGTACTTTTAGCACACGACATTGAAAGAGCGCAGCAACAACTACCCATAAAAGAAGGTGACAAAATCTACGACTTTTGAGGATTGCAACAATATTCATCAATTTCGCTAAATGCTGTTCGGAGTAAAGAATGGAGCAGTGTGATTTCAGAGGGTCATAGATGACATAATATGTGCTGAAAAACTTGCCGTGGAATGCGCCTGTGTGAATAATGTCACCATTTGTGGAAAGAATCAAGAAAACAATCGGAATCTCCAGTGTTTTTTCACCCTAGCACAACAGTATGGTCTTCAGTTAAATCACGATAAAAGCACAATTTACACCATGAAACTCAGACTCCTTGGTTATGAAATGATGGAAGCTATCATTAAACCAGATCCTTAACGTTTCAGAGTCTTGCAAAAGTTGTCCGTTCCGGATGACATGAAGTCTCAACAACGTGTAGTTGGCTTGTTCGCGTACTATTCTTGTTGGGTAAGCAATTTCTCTGGTAAGATTCGCCCAATCACTCACAATACAACCTTTCCAGTCCCAGGCTGCTATAAAAGTCTCAAGAAAGAGGAAGTGGGTGCAGCTGTGATCCTTGTCGATCCGGGAATACCCCTGACATTCAAAACTGATGCATGAGCTGGTTCAACTTCCGTTGCACTCAAATAAGATGGTAGGATGGTCGAATTCTCCTCACGTACAGTATCTGCCAGTAAAAAGCATCTCCACTATTGAAAAAGAGGCATGCGCAATTGTCGAAGCAGTGCGCAAATCGAAGCTTGGGACTTATTTGAAGATTGTAATCGACCACCGGTCAGTTGCGTTCATGTATTCAACACAGCAAAAAGGGAGAAACAACAAAATCCATATAATGGCGGATGGGGTTATCGCTCTCTTTTGATGTAACCTACAGACCAGGGGCCAAAAACAGAGTGACTGACACGCTCATCTAGTTTTTATGCGATCAGTTCATTTTAGTTGGATCTAAAGCGCTTACACGCAACCCTGTACCAGCCTGGACCAACACACATGGTGCACTTCGTTCGTGCCAAGAATCTCCCATTCTCCCTAGGGGATATCCGACCTGTCACTAAGCGATGTCACGTGTGTGCAGAGTTAAACTCACGTCTCAAGCCATCCGGTTGTACGCTCACTAAGGCCACACGGACAATTGAACGTTCAATGGTAGGCTTCAAAGGACCACTCCCCTCGATGGCTCGAAATATCTACTGACGGTCGAAGACGAGCATTCGTGCTTCCCATTCGCTTATTGGTGTCCAGATGTAAGTTCGTCTACAGTAGTATCATATTTTGTGCCACTCCTAGCTACACTTGGCCTATCTAGTTACATGCATTCTGATCGTGCTTTATTATTCATTTCGGATAAGCCTAAGCGGTTTCTTCGTGAAAAAGGCGTTGCCACCAGTTGGACCACCCCATAAAACCATGAATCCATTAGATGTGACTTTGTGAAAAGCTATTACGTTTTCATTATGATCAAAAGGTTTTCACATCAGTCACTGGGAAACCGTACTTTGTTGTGCACCGCCACCCATGCCACTCCATACGGGTGAATGTTTTATCATAATCGAAAATCCGCAGTCGGTACATCATTGCCTCAGTGATTGCTTTCTCCGAGACCAGTTCTGATGCGACGAAGTACACAATCTTCGAAGTTTGACCTTGAGTGGAACCCTGAGTACGCATATGTCCGAGGCCCTAATGGCATGGAAGAAACGGCCTTCTTATCTCACGTGGCGTCTTCCGCAGATTTTGAATGCGCCCCAGATTCCGAGCATCAGCGATCGCATTCTAACACTGGTTTCTTTGTTAAACAGAAACTATCTGACTACTCTGCTTTGGACGCCGAAATGTTGAATTGATATGAACACAACAGGGGGCAAGATGGCCCAGTGGTTAGAGCGCGAATTTACTGGCCGGAAAGTTCATGGTTTGAACCCGACCTCTGCCTCTCGACTTCCCCTGTCTAGGCTTGAGCAACCTGACAGTATCCCAGCCCTTGTGCTTCCTTCGGGTGGCATGACAGTTAGGCACCGAAAGGGTGCTACAGCTGAACGATTCTTTTATGAACACCATTGGTTGCACAAGAACAGCGGATGGGATCGTATATCTGGCGCAACAGAGAACTCTAACACTAATCAATATAAAAACGGACATTTGTGATCATTATAATCAACGGAGGGATGTTTTATATTTACTCTGCTACCTCGAAGCGTTTTATGGTTCATTTTGTAACTTCTGATGTTTTACCTCAGATGAATAAGCCCAAGCTTTTGGGCCCTCCGTCATTCCCGTCCTTGATCTCATTGTCACCACATTCCATTTCTCGTCAAACAAAAAAGGTCAGTAAGTTCGTGCCTTAACCACTGAGCTATCTTCAGAAAGTACTGCTGAGTCTAACAACCAAAGACGAGAGTATTTAGATAAATCAGCCAAACCTCTGACAGGGAACCCACGTTTCTGTAGAGCAATAAATGGAATGGTTGCGGCAAAAACTAGACACCGCCCCATATAGCCGACTTCCCAACAGAGGGGAAGGCACTCACTCACAACAAAACAAACCATTTGGAAGTATGGGTGTGAGAAGTGGACTCTGCGGGCAGCGGAACCGAGACATTGTCAGGCCCATCAACCGTTGTTTCAGAACCAGATCTCGTGTGGTTGGCGTCGGCAAATCCATAAAAGGGCAACAGGAAGGCGAGTGTTCGGTTACGAAACTGGGACTTCCATCGCAGAATCTGTCCAGCACCAACAGATGTGGTGGTTAGGCCAGGTACTGCGCGTGTCGGGCAATCGGTTTTCTATTAGTGCCGTTTTCCGTGCCCGATTTTTCTCCGCTCAATCACGGAGGTCACTATCCCTTAGCTTGACAGGAGGGTACGAAAGGGACTACGAAAAGTCTGGGCGCTATCAAGGTCACTCGCTTTCGCTGACGGGGGTGCGGGCCCATTAGGACACGATGTGGATATAGCTGCCAACCGGCGACAGCGGGGCTCCTGTTGTCAGCGTCTACTCGAATTGCCCGAGTGTCTATAAGTGTGCTATTTGTCTAACAATTGTGAGATACCTGCAGTAAGTCCCTTATCGTTTACTTTTTTCAAAACAAGGCATTTAAATAAAGCACGGTGATAGGCAGCGAAGCACCAGTGTTGACCTTTTGTCTGGCAACAGCCTCAGCCTATTTTCGGAAATGTCAGTAGAGCAGAAGACCCGGAATGCTCAAAGCTTATTTCGGTTGATTGATGCAACCGGTTCCCGTAAATATCCAGTGAGTGAAACCACAATGTATCAAAGTGGTGCGACTCTCCTCTAAAAAGTGACGCTTCGACCACTGGTTTAAGCACTTCGAACAACTCTCTTGGCCGGCTACTGCCACTCAGTTGAGCAGTTCGTGAACCACGTGGTTCAGTATTGACCCAAGGGCAGCAAGCGATGTTCCGAATTTCCACATCCCTTCAGGTTCCAGAACGCCATACATATTAATGATCCACAGTTTTGATATTCCTGTATTTCCGGGGCGCATTCTCCTCAACACGCCTGCCCGGGAAGTTCGTGAATACAAGTTCTTGGTACTCTTTTACCTCAGGGCGTGTTGGGGTGTACGGAGGGCTCTCCAAAAGCTTCGGTACACAAAGCGGTGTCCGAGCTCTGTTAGACAGAACCCCGAACCAAAACCTCTTTACCTCTGGCAGTTGGGCGCTGCTACGGACAAGTGGACTAATCCGCATGAGATTGTCCACATGATCAAGCCGACTGCCACTCCAAGATCAACGCGACCTCTGATTGGCCAAAAGTGTGGGCCCAACAGCCAACCATAATCCGGTGTCAGCCGAGTGCGGTTGCCAATACCCCGTCCTCAGGCCATGGGAATTTCCACACTGTCTTGCCACATGCCGTTTATATACGACGCAATGCACATATATTTTTGGTCCAGTCTTGGGTGTTTGATACACGCTGTTCAATTTCTGTGCTTCTTTAAGCCAGCAAGCGATAGGCCTCGAAATTGCTAGCAGATGAAATGCAATTAGTCTGACAGCTTGTTTCATCAGTAATAACTACCATGTTTGCATTACGGGGCATATATATGAAAACAGAAAAACAAAATTCCCTGGACATATTCCGAAACAACTTTTTCACGGATTCACGGATTGATACACGGACAACCGTGGAGGAAGGTCACTCCACGCAGCTACTACCCGAAATGAGAAAAACTTTTGTCTAATGAATGTGTGTGCTCTGAGCTTGAAAATTTTCTTACTATGTCCTCGCCGTGTGTTTGCTGGGTCAACGGTGAAAAACCTGTTTGC